TTAACTATACTTGTTTCAGTACCTAAATTTGGTGTTTTACACACACTCCCAGCATATAATAATAATAAGTAAATCTTATTTCATTACTTTGCCTTCATAGATTTTTTACTCATAACGTAGTTTGTTTTATATTAAAGAAGCGCGTCGAATATAAATAATGAAAAATAATTTAAACAGATAAAATAAAGCATTAAAACACTCGTACATTGATAATAAAATATAATTAGTTCCATGATGATCCAATATGGAGAAAAATAAATCCGACTACACGAAGACACTGAAAAATGACTAAAACACTGGCAATTAGCCTCGAGTTAAAAACACAGATTAATTTATTAAAATACGGTTAGGCCTAACAATGATACTAACAGTATAATGTCGATGTTTATAGAGCCAACAATAATACTGACAGTGTAATGTCGATGTTTGTAGAGCCAACAATAATACTGACAGTGTAATGTCGATGTTTGTAGAGCCAGCAATGATACTGACAATGTAATGTCGATGTTTGTAGAGCCAGCAATGATACTAACAGTGTAATGTCGATGTTTGTAGAGCCAACAATGATACTGACAGTGTAATGTCGATGTTTTTAAAAACAACAATGATACTGACAGTGTAATGTCAATGTTTTTAAAAACAACAATGATACTAACAGTGTAATGTCGATGTTTGTAGAGCCAGCAATGATACTGGCAGTGTAATGTCGATGTTTGTAGAGCCAACAATGATACTGACAGTGTAATGTCGATGTTTGTAGAGCCAGCAATGATACTGACCGTGTAATGTCGATGTTTGTAGAGCCAGCAATGATACTGACCGTGTAATGTCGATGTTTGTAGAGCCAACAACAATACTGACAGTGTAATGTCGAGGTATTTAAATTTCTTAAGTTGATTAACCCGAGTGGTGACATATAATAGAGTAATACTATTATTAGCTCGTGACTGTAATAATTCCATATTAATATTGTAGTCCGAACAATACCAGGTACTCGTATGTTCATGAGATGAACTTACTTATTCTGATAAGGAACTAACTACTATTACTTCCTTATTGAAGACCTCTGTCGTTGATGTTCGTGCAGTACGAAGGATTTTTAATAAGTAGATGAGGAATGATTAAAATTATGAAATACTGGTTGTGCTTGATGGCCGGTAGATGGAGGTGTTCATTAAATTATTTAAAACAGACAGTATATCTTATTATTATTATTTTCCCTTCGGTCGAGACCTAAATATAGACATGCAGATGTATTCGATTCACAGTTTTGGGCGGAGTGACCAATTGATTAGTATATCCACACATCTGTTAACAACATGTGTGAAATTAATAGTTCGTGCGTTGTGGCTTCACGTTCTTTTCGTCCGGTGTTACAGTTAAGAAACAGACTTGTAAAGCCTTCTCGTAACGACTCGCTATTAGCTGGTAATTGTCGTAACGACTCGCTATTGGCTGGTAATTGTCGTAAAGACTCGCTATTGGCTGGTAATTGCGATATGCGAGAATACTTGTCACTTATGTCAGACCGCGCTTCCTGGCGCGTGCCACGTGGGGGTTGGCATAATGTTGAGATATGAATACATGGTACTTTGATGGTGCCCAACAAGAGAAACACAACCCGACACTACAAGTTTCCCAAGAATTACATATCAAATATTTATACTACATGATTTAGACACCCCCTCTAGCGAGGGTCATTTATCAAAATTCATGTATCTCTTCCTTTTTTCCTTTGGAGGTTTACGTTTCAAATGCTTATGCATTTTTTTTAATGTTTACATATCTAATTGAAGTACTAGCACGAGGTCAATTTTTTTTGTTTTTTTAGATGGAGAGCTGAATCAAGATTAAATGTTAAATTTTGTAAGAAACGAGGGCTTTGAAAAATATACTAACATTGAAGACAGGGACAAAGTGCGTATTTCGAGTAGACAACGTTGTCTACACGTCACGCTGCCCTTCACCGTTATTCAGACAGAAACCTTTTCACTTGGAGGCGCACGTGCTAAATTTAGACACGCCATTTATCTGTAAACTGTCGGAACCTTTAAGTTGGACTTTTTGTGAATGAGCGCGAGGGTGGGATCTGGCTTTGTTGCTTTTATAATTTCTACACCAGACGTCGTGTTTAAACTTAGCTGTGTTAAATTACTTTTACGAGTCAAGGTTAGCCATACAGCGTTAGTAATCGAATGATGAAAATACCACTTAAGTAGAGAACAAAATTAGTGTGTTGAAATACACTATATGATCAGCTTTAGTTGTTTTTTTTTACTTAAAGAGGGCGCGTCGTGATCACTATGGAAAACTGCCTTGCTTTGGATCGATTAGGGGTATATAAAATACTTTAGTAATGTCGCATTTGCTAGTAAAAAATATAATGTTTCCTGAATATTTTGTTAAATGTTCCATTTCCCTCAACCTTTTTTTAATTATTGTTTTTAGTTATTCAACACGCAGGAAATTAACAACAAAAAAACTACAATTACATCGACAATCGTAGAGAAAGTATCTGTACGTCTTGTGTAAGTGGCGCCCTCTAGTAGCTAGAAAAGGTTATTATTATTATTATAGAATCAAGCATCGTATGTTGGATTTCCCGGGCAAGTCCAGACCTGTTTGCACGTGTGTGTGTAATACTACATTATTTATATCTGTGTTATCGGAACTGTGGGTACAGGCCATACACGAACAGGGACTAAACGTTGATAATTTCTTGTGAAAACGTTTACAAACAACTGTGTACCTGTGTTGTCTCTTATCCATTAACATTATAACACACACGGTGGTCCACAACATCCTTACGTGACTGGATTGTGGCCAATAGCTGTTTGTGTTGTATAAAACATTTATACAATTGTGTACCTGTGTTGTCTGTTATCCACTAACATTATAACACACACGGTGGTCCACAACATCCTTACGTGACTGGATTGTGGGCAATATCTACTAACATTATAACACACACGGTGGGCCACAACATCCTCACGTGACTGGATTGTGGGCAATAGTTGTTTGTGTTGTATAAAACATTTATACAATTGTGTACCTGTGTTGTCTGTTATCCACTAACATTATAACACACACGGTGGTCCACAACATCCTTACGTGACTGTATTGTGGGCAATATCCACTAACATTATAACACACACGGTGGGCCACAACATCCTCACGTGACTGGATTGTGGGCAACAGTTGTTTGTGTTGTATAAAACATTTATCGATTTCTACTTGAACTGTATGTGTGAACAGCAACGTGTAACATCCAGGGTAAACTACCAGCCAACAGTAACGTGTAACAGCCAAGGTAAAACTACCAGCCAACAGTAACGTGTAACAGCCAAGGTAAAACTACCAGCCAACAGTAACGTGTAACAGCCAAGGTAAAACTACCAGCCAACAGTAACGTGTAACAGCCAAGGTAAAACTACCAGCCAACAGTAACGTGTAACAGCCAAGGTAAAACTACCAGCCAACAGTAACGTGTAACAGCCAGGGTAAAACTACCAGCCAACACTAACGTGTAACAGCCAGGGTAAAACTACCAGCCAACAGTAACGTGTAACAGCCAGGGTAAAACTACCCGCCAACAGCAACGTGTAACAGCCAGTGTGAACTACCCGTGAACAGCAACGTGTAACAGCCAGTGTACTCTATTGTCTACTCGTGCTCCACTGGTAGTTTGGGTGTTTGTAGTTGTTGTTTGATAATTATATTTTATTGCCCTGTATCGTTATTTTACCGTTTCCTTTGGTTTAAATGCTGAAAGAAGTCGAGTGATTATGTTTGTGGCCAGGTGACTTCTGAGCAATCACTTGGTTGTTGAAGCAGTCCCGGTCACGTGACAGGGAACTCTAGGTCTGACTGTGTGTAGTTCCTGGCTGTTCCACCACAGGTAGGAGGCGAGGGAGAGGATCACTGCCGTGTCGTGTTCGGTAACAATACTCCTGCAGCTGGTGATGGAGTTTGTTGGCCTTAACATCTGTTGTTCATAACGTCACGAAACTGGCTGGAGGGGAGGGTGTGGTGGTAGTCGGTCACTTGTAACATGATGACGAGGACAAGGTCCATTTGCTTTCCCGTCTAGTTCCCATCATATTCCCGGTTCCTTTGGCTGTCAAGAAGTAACGTTAAATTTCTAAACAACAGTTACTCGAACCACCGGAAACATTGTCACATTTGAACGTCTTCTAAGTTAATATATACGCCCTCCAGTGGCACAGCGCTAGAAACCGGGTTTCGATACCCGTGGTGGGCAGAGCCCAGATAGCCCATTGTGTAGCTTTGTGCTTAACTTCAAACAAAGTAAACCAAACTAAGTTAATATATATACATATTTCTGTCAGGTATCTCGTACACTTTGATAACTCCTTACTGTTCGTCACTGCGGTTCCGTGCATGTCTAGAAAGTATCAAATAAAACTTTGGTTTACTTGGCTAAGGTAGGAGTATTTAACACAGAGACCTGTTTAACTTTGAACCCTGACCTCCCAAGGATACTTCACTAGCAACAGTTTCTTGGTGCAATAATAAGTTTGAATTGATGTGTTTTTTATCTTAGGGTTTACTAATTAATCATTAATAATAATAATATTCTAGTCATCATTTATATTTCGGTAATAACTTATAGGTAATATTACCTTACATACTGGTTGTTCTTAGGATAAATCGGCTACTACTTACTGGGGCAACATAACCCCTAGTTCAGGTCATGGACAGTCTCGGGAAGTGTTTCTAACTTCTAGGCTATTCTTATCGAAGAGTTGTGGTCCGATTTTATATTCAATGATTGTGGAATGTAATATTGAAATGTACGATACAAATGAATGTTCGTCACTTCCCCTCCAGACCACTATCAGCATTTTGGTAGACGAATTAGTTTCACATTATCTCTTTAGGGTTAACTACGAGGGTCAAGAGAAGTTCATGTTACGACAATGAACCTGCTAACAATTAATTATAAGTCCTCGTTAACATGTGACGTATTTGTTCTACAGAATAGCTGTGTACATCACAGAACGGATAAGTCTCCGGGTTTGTTATTGTAACCGGACTGGAGTCGACCAGACTCTGTCAGCAAGGCCTAGACACTGGACAAAGCCTTCTTTTGAGCAAGATGGCTGCACAGAAACTGCGATCATAGTAAGGTCCCTGAGCGTGGTACTTATCATTATGTGGAGGTCCTCAGCCAGGGTGTGTAAAGGTCAAGCGAAAACTTTTCGTAACCCCTGAAATATGTAGTACGTAACGAAACCGTGGCGGGTCATAAATGGTATACATTGTATGGTCAGTTTTATCAATATTTGAAAAAGTGAAAAATCTTAAGAAGGACTTCTGCCGGGTCACCTTAAAGTTCAGTGTGACGAAGACCCCTTAACTACGTGTTGCCTCACAGAAGTCTTCACCTATTCTTCCTGCCATCAAGTAATAAAGCAGTATAAGCGACGGTTCCACGAACTTCTCAACTATTTCAATCTTTGAAGAATTCTGAAGAGCTCTCTATTCTATAGCTACGATTCGTATTAATTACAGGCCTGAGGCCTTTCGTGCTCGGTATCTCATAAATGTCACATACAGGAGGTAGAAGTGGGTGTTCCTACATTCCATGATGGTGAATAGACGCGGGTTGTTAAAATAATCTGAAGCAGATGTATCAAAACCCAAAATTTTCATCCGAAGACAAAAATAGTTCGTTCAGCTGCCTTTACCGATTACACGAGCGTGTTTTACTCGTGAATAAGGCGGATAAAGTCACGTTTTATTCCGTAAAGAACTCCACATCTTATGGACGAGAAGGAATCTTCATAACACAAGTTATCTAGAAACGGAGTGACTCAGTCTTTAATTTTGTTCTGGAGCATCTCAATGACGTCACAGTTGCTTGAAAAACATAGGTGAGGCTGTATTAATGGCAAGATAGGAATGTAAACAGGATGGCATAAACGTAGCTAGAAATACATCGATATAAAACCTTGTGTTATGTGACCAGCCAAGTAATTGTATATCGATGTTACAACAGTGTTGAAGATATAAAACCTTGTGTTATGTGACCAGCCAAGTAATTGTATATCGATGTTACAACAGTGTTGAAGATATAAAACCTTGTGTTATGTGACCAGCCAAGTAATTGTATATCGATGTTACAACAGTGTTGAAGACATAAACCTTGTGTTATGTGACCAGCCAAGTAATTGTATATCGATGTTACAACAGTTTAGATAGATAATGGGGGTGAGGAACTAAATGAATGTATCGTAGTTGCAGGTTAGGCTTACCACACAGGACACGTAGCATAGTATGAAAACAATGTAAAAAAACACTTCACAAATATGTTATAGTGTGAATACTGGCGATTTCAATGATTATTGTCATAAAACATTATTATTAGGCCTGATTATTGTCATAAAACATTATTATTAGGCCTGATTATTGTCATAAGACATTATTATTAGGCCCGTATATTAATAAGACATTATTATTAGGCCTGTATATTAATAAGACATTATTATTAGGCCTGTATATTAATAAGACATTATTATTAGGCCTGTATGTTAATAAGACATTATTATTAGGCCTGTATGTTAATAAGACATTATTATTAGGCCTGTATGTTAATAAGACATTATTATTAGGCCTGTATGTTAATAAGACATTATTATTAGGCCTGTATGTTAATAAGACATTATTATTAGGCCTGTATGTTAACAATTGTTGTGTCATTATATAAATAATTTTTCGACCACTGCTGTTTTTGTTTGTTGTGTCTTGGGCTGCCAAAAGAGCTCTGGATTGAGCAAAACGCGTCGTCGGCGGCAATGGGTATTACGAACATAGTGTCGTTGGAATACTATTATTATATACACTTCCAGTTTTTTAAAACCTCTAAATGACTTGTTTTAAGAATGCAAGGTTTAAAAACATGAGTCCTAACACTATTGGCTTAAACATGTTTCAAGTCAACGAACTGCCGAAAACATTGAAGATTATTAAATATAAGAGCGATATTTGAACAACAATAACACTGAACTAAGAGAACAAAATGATAGAACGACAAAAAAAAAGTCATTCGGTTAATTCTGCAGTACTTGCGAAGAAGCCGTAAGCCTACAAGACAAGTCCGAGTAGTTCATAGTAGGACATACGTAGACTTTCTGTTGAAGAAAATCGTTAGTGAGGACCAGGATAGTCGTGAACGTAGAAAAGTCTTGAGACTTTGTGGGGTAGTCCTTATCGTTTTCCATTTTAGAACCTGAACGTGCACATAAATCGCTTACTGGTATATTGTAACGTAGATTTGGTCATCGCTCTGTTACTAATTAATACTTTTGGTCAGTCGCTCTGTTACTAATTAATACTTTTGGTCAGCCGCTCTGTTACTAATTAATACTTTTGGTCAGCCGCTCTGTTACTAATTAATACTTTTGGTCAGCCGCTCTGTTACTAATTAATACTTTTGGTCAGTCGCTCTGTTACTAATTGTACTTTTGGTCAGTCGCTCTAGTAATTAGTAGATATGACCTAGTTAGCTGTGTTAAGACTGATTAAGCACCCGTGGAACACATAACAAGTCCTGTATGTGTGAATTAACTGCCAGTAATTAGTAGATATGACCTAGTTAGCTGTGTAAAGACTGATTAAGCACCCGTGGAACACATAACAAGTCCTGTATGTGTGAATTAACTGCCAGTAATTATTAGATATGACCTAATTAGCTGTGTAAAGACTGATTAAGCACCTGTGGAACACATAACAAGTCCTGTATGTGTGAATTAACTGCCAGTAATTAGTAGATGTGACCTAGTTAGCTGTGTTAAGACTGATTAAGCACCCGTGGAACACATAACAAGTCCTGTATGTGTGAATTAACTGCCAGTAATTAGTAGATATGACCTAGTTAGCTGTGTAAAGACTGATTAAGCACCCGTGGAACACATAACAAATCCTGTATGTGTGAATTAACTGCCAGTAATTAGTAGATATGACCTAGTTAGCTGTGTTAAGACTGATTAAGCACCCGTGTAACACATAACAAATCCTGTATGTGTGAATTAACTGCCAGTAATTAGTAGATATGACCTAGTTAGCTGTGTTAAGACTGATTAAGCACCCGTGGAACACATAACAAGTCCTGTAAGTGTGAATTAACTGCCAGTAATTAGTAGATATGACCTAGTTAGCTGTGTAAAGACTAATTAAGCACCTGTGGAACACACGACAAATCCTGTAAGTGTGAATTAACTGCCAGTAATTAGTAGATATGACCTAGTTAGCTGTGTAAAGACTGATTAAGCACCCGTGGAACACATAAGTCCTGTATGTGTGAATTAACTGCCAGTAATTAGTAGATATGACCTAGTTAGCTGTGT